CGCTGTTTATGAAAAATAATATACAGGATGGTTGAACATTGCTATAAGTATAAAATTACATATTCAGATATTAGTAAAGTTTAACTTTTTTTTCGATTTTTGTTCATGGGACGAAGCACTGTGCGACTGTTCGACGAAACAATGAAAGGATACGTTTTATTACTGTCATTTAATTCACAGGTAAATAGTATTTTCTGTCATTTTTTATATGTCGTCTTGCGAACCTTCCCCAGCATTATTCAGAAAGTTTCAGGGGCTTGGAACAACCTCAAAAAGGAAATACCACTTCTCCAAATCCCATACCAATAATGTACAGGGTGGTCGAGATTGGTCTGTTTTAACAGAGAAACCTTATTTCCTGACTAGACAGAGCAAAACCGACATAGATGTCATGGGTTCGATTTCTGAGACACGTTTAATGGCGTAAACCGAGTGTTGATATTTTCACTGCCAACTGAAATACGGGGTCTTTTTGCATTTTTTACCATTTGGAAAATTGCCCATAACTTTTGTATTTCGCGGAATAATAAAATACTGTAAAAACGTTCTTAAGGCACTTTTTTAAGCACAATGCAGTGGCGTAGTCAGTTTTTTTCTATGCTTGCTCTTTTTGTCAGAAATAACGAAAAATATAATTTTTTAAATGGAAATCATAGTTGGCTATGAACTTAAAAAAATGCTGGCGTTTAACCTTTCCATTTTGTGTTGGCCTATTTGACTAATTATTTTTTATCACAATTTTTTTTTAATATTCTATATTATTATTTATCTGTATACCTAATTAAAGACTTTGAGAAGGTAAATTAACATTCTATATTAGTATTTGTAATTACAAGAATTGAAATCTATATAATAAACCAAGAACAAAACTAAAAAGTATTTTTTGAGTGACGAATATAGTTTTCTAAAAAAAATCATTAAAATCGTCAAGAGTTACAACGATTTATTAGAAGAATTGGTGTAATAATTCCAAAAGCTTGCCTAGTAGCCTTCTGCAATTCTTCTTTCGTCCCAATGGTTCTTCCCTTATATATAAATCTTTTAATCTACGTCTTTTAATTTCGCCCATAAAAAAGTCGAAAGGAGCTAAGTCACAGGATCTAGCAGACCAAGATATGGGCCCTTTGTTCCAATCCAATTCTCTCTAAATTCTCCATTTAATAGTTCAGTTGTAACCCTGGCGTTTTAATTGTAATTGGTAATACTAATATAGAATGTTGATTTACCCTTTCAAAACTCTTTAATTATGCAGACAAATAATAATATAGAATATTAAATTGTGGTAAAAAATAATTAGGCAACTAGGTCAACATAAAATGAAGGCCCGCTTCGATA